CGTGCTCCAGAAACAAGAGCTCCTCGTACGCAAATCTGCACTTTTCTGACTTCAGTGTGAGCCCGGACGTCTTGATTGCTTGAAGTACAGCTTCAGGGCCCCGAAAGATGCTCGTCGAAACTCGAAAAAAACATGACGACGTCGTACAAGTACACAAGGCAAGTCTGCCACTTCAATCCTGCCAGTACTGTATCCATAATGCATTGAAAAGTGGCAGGCGCTGAGCAAAGACTGAAGGGCATCACCTCAAACTCGAAGAGGCCGTCCGGTGTTATAAACGCCGTCTTCTTTCGGTCTCTTTTGTCGACTTCGATTTGTCAATAGCCAGTCTTGATGTCCATTGACGAAAAGTACTTGGCGTTATAGAGCCGATCAAGTGCGTCATCTGTTCGTGGTAGAGGATACGCGTCCTTTCTTCTGGTTTTGTTCAGGCGGCGATAATCGACGCAGAAACGTAGGGTTACATCGTTTTTTTTTCACTAACACCACGGGGGACGCCCATGGACTCTTGGACGGCTGGATGACATCATCTCGCAGCATTTCAACTTGTCTCTTCATGACCTCGCGTTCTCGCATTGAAACCCTGTACAGACTCTGACGGAGTGTTCTGGCATTTTCCTCGGTTATGATGCGATGTTTCGTGATTGGGGTCTGCCGAGTTTTTGATGACGACGAAAAGAAATCTTTGTATTGCAGAAGCAGGGTCTTGAGCTGTTCTTGCTTATGGTTCGGAAGGCTGGGATCGACGTTGAAAGCTGAGGGAGGGGCTTGGTTCCTCTGAGCAGGTTCAGCAAAATCAGCGAGGGCGAAAGCACTGGTGCCTTCCACAATTTTTTCTATGTATGTGACCGCCGTTCCTTTGTTTCAATGTTTGTACTCACTGCTGAAATTCGTGAGCATAACTATTGCTTTGCCTCTCCGCAGCTCTACAATTCCTCTTGCAACGCAAATATTGCGGGTGACTAACAGATGCTGACTGCCTTCAATGACGCCTTCCAAGTAAGGTGATTTAGGAGCACTGGCTGAAATAATGACGCTGGAGTGAGGCGGAATGATGACTTATCTTCCAGCATATTCAAGGCGTGGTTTCCTGACGGCGTGCATGGCGGTAGTGCTTCTTCTGTGGATAACGTTAGCGACTTTGTTCTTAGGTTGATGACTGCACCATAGAGGCATAAGAAGTCCATGCCAAGGATGACACTTCTCGAGCAACGCTGCAGGACTACGAAGTCTGCAGGATAAATAAGGCCATTAATGATGACTCTTGCTATGCAGATTCCTGCAGGCGTTACGAGATGACCTCCGGCTGTGCGGATTTCAGGGCCTTTCCAAGCTGTCCTAACTTTCTTCAACTTCGCGGCGAACGACCCACTGATGACGGAATAGTCGGCTCCAGTATCGATGAGAGCGGTCACACTGTGGCCGCCGATAAGAACGTAGAGGTCGCTAGTTCGCCGTCTCGCGTTGCAGTTAGGGCGTGGCGTCGGGTCACAACTGCGTCGGCTTGTTCCGCTGCTTCCATGTTGCGTCGTCAGGTCACCTTCGGTAAGTGAGGTTTCAACGTCAGGACTTTGCCTGATTGGCGCTAGTGTTCAGAAAGCTCCGTCGCGGCGGCGTCGTCGTTGAGGGATCTTCGGTAGTTCATCGCACAGGAAACGCCCCTCCATCGGTTGCTGCCCTTAGTTTCCCGGATACGGGCTAGGGCCAGAGTACTGCCGGTGGTGCGGTGACGTGCGGCGGCTGGGCGACGGCGAACGGGAAGGGCTTCGTGGTGTCCATTGAGTTCCTGTGAGGTAGTCGGCGATGTCACGTGGCTGTTCTCCTGGCTGTGGATGTGGTGCATTGACGGCGAAGCCACGCAGTCCCATCTGTCGGTACTGGCAGCGGCAGTATGTGTGTCCAGCCTTGCCGCAGTGGTAGCAGAGCGGGCAGTGGTCAGGGGTGCGCCAGACGTCAGTCTTCCTCGGCGCACTGCGCTGGGCCGCTGGCGGACGATAGGACGTCGGTGGGGGTGGTGGCGTCTGGCGACAGAAGTGTGATGGGGCAGTGTTTTGGCGTGCGCGTGGAGGAGGAGCGTGACGGCCGGCTGCAGCAGCATAGCTCATGGCTTGCAGCTGAGGCTCTTGAGGCTGAGAAACGCCCAGCGATTGCTGGATCTCCTGGCGTACGACGTCGGCGATTGATAGCACGTGAGGCTGCGCTGAAGGAAGTAATTTTCGCAGCTCTTCTTGCACGATCGCTCGGATCGTCTCACGCAAGTCAGTGGTTCCAAGCGCTTGAATGCAGGCGTAGCTTGTAGACAAGAAGCCACGGTTATATTGCCGCTTGCGCATCTCAAGCGTCTTCTCTATCGTAGATGCTTCTGAAATGAATTCGGCGACCGTCTTTGGCGGGTTTCTGATCAGCCCGGCTCCTGCTTTACTCCTCGCATGAGCAGACGGACCTTCCTCTCCGCTGACATGTCGGAGTCAGCGTGGCGGAAAAGTTTAATCATATGTTTCGTGAATAGCGCCACGTTTTCGTTTGGCATCTGCATGCGGGTTTCGAGAAGAGCTGCGGCCTTCTCCTTGCAGACCACACTTGCGAAAGTAGTGAGGAACCTGGGGCGAAAGACGTCCCACGTTGTAAGGCTTCGCTCTTGATTCTCGAACAAGGTCCGAGCAGCATCTTCTAAGGCGAAATACACATGCCGAAGCTTGTCGTCGTCTGTCCAGTCATTGAAGGCCGCGACGCGGTCAAACCTTTCGATCCAGCTTTCCAAGTCTTCCAGTGGCGAACCGCGGAAAGTTGGCGGCTCTTTGGGTTGCCGGAGCAGGAGTGGTGCAGGCTGCACGGGGGTGGTCATGGTTGCAGTAGTTGATGTCGGGATCCGGGTCTGCCTGGCTGCTTCAGGAAGGAGCCCGTACTCTGGTTGTAGTCCCCTCTGCCTGCGGCTTGTTCGCTGTTCAGGGTTAGCGTCCGTGTCTTCTTTGCCGCTTGGGCTGGGGTCGCGGCTTGAAGGGGGCGTCCGGAACATCAAAGAAGCAGCACCTCCCCCAGATGTCACGGGGTCATGACGTGGCCGAAGACAGAAGACCTTGCGTTGGAATTTAACTGTTTATTTGGGCGAACCTGTGCCCGGTAAACGGAAAGTCCGATTACTATAGCAGTCTTGGACTGATAGCCGCGAACGGAGCGTCGGCCGTCGATCAACTACTGACAAGCGGCGAAGCGCGTCGGCATTTATACTCTTGCCATCGAATGTTCTAACGTTATCGCTGGCGGTGGCGTAGGTTCCAGAATAATCTGTACAGTTCGCAGAGTAGGCGTGATCTTATTGAAATGGTCTACTACAGTCCGGAAGCTTCTCGAAAACTGCAGGCGCGGTTTGCGCTGAAAATTGTGTAGTGTTTTGGGACGATAACAAAACTTGGGAAATGGAACATGGCAATATAGTCAGCCAAATAACTATAACATCTATCGTGATCAACACGCTAAGAGATCCTTACACAATATTAAACAACACTTAACAACATGGCAAACAAGGCAATGTCACTAACACCTGAATCACCGCATAGGCCCACTGCAGACAGCCATCCACGGCAGACCCACCGCTGGAGGCAACCGTCCGCGCTACCGCCCCACGCCACAAGAGACCAGCTTATTCTTGTGCGCTGCCACTAAGACGTGCCGCCAGGCGGTGCCACCGGCACTAATGCTTTCTAACCATGATGATGATAGTAGTGATTACCGCTCGCGAACACAACGCGACCTACCGCTCAATAGCTGTGACTCCAAAATACGGCTTCAGCACGACCCATGTGCACTATGCGGCTCAAACAGCTTTACAAAAAGTGTCAACAACTCCACACATTTTACATAGTTGTGTTAAATCGAGGATGTAGAAAATTAAGATATTGTGAAACCTAGTGCACTTATTATTGATACCCAACCTACCCTTTATAAATACATAAGGTGGAATATTATGCAGTAGTTAGAAAGATAGAATACTTCAATGATATTGTTACGGGGAGATGACATAAAATGGGTGTATTTACAGTATTTACAGATTACAGTGATGCGGGAAAGAACAAACAAGATGTCGGGAGCAGGCACCACCTAGTACTTCACTTCAGGCATCTGCAGATGTGACGTCGAGGTTGTTTTTTCTGCCCAGGAGAACCTAACTAGCATGTGTAGAGCCATCAACCTAGGAGCTAGAGAGACCACCACTTGCAGGAGCTAGAGAGACCACCACTAAGCATCGGAATAAGTTCGTTCCATGCGTTCATGGCGTGGTGTGTTCTATACCATTGTCCAGTGGTAAATTATACATAGGAGGAACTGGGAGATGTCTGAATGAGCGTCTCAAGGAACACGCTTACAGCATTTCCTCAACGGTGTCTGGCCACCTAGGAATTCACTGCCGGGATCGTGGGTGTACCCCCTGATTTTCAGTCATGTGCGGTTATCAAGTGTTATCGTGACAAGCTTATGTGTGAAATACTGAAGGCCTTGGAGATTGCTAGACTGGGGACACGTGTGTGAGTAGGCCTTCGGTTGCCCTCTCAGATAAGGAAGTTGTCTTCTTATCTGGTTGATTGCACGAGCTATGAGAATGATTTACTAGTTTTTTTTTTTTTTGGACTTTCACTTTTGCTGCTTCTTTTCTTGTTCCAGTGCATAGATAAATATGTGTGGTTCGAAGAATAAATTTTTTTCATGTAAGTCAGCGCCCTGTGTGTGTACTTCTTCGTCTGGTCTCTCGTTTTTCACAATGTTTGTTTTTTCACTATGTCGTACCAGCACTTCCAAGTAACCACTTTAACCACACAAAACCCACTTGAGTACTTTTTCAGTCCACTTTATCCCAGTACATTGCACACCAGCTTGTCTTATTGGTGGTGCTTTCTAGTTTTTCTTTGTTTCCTCCATACACTCTTTTGAATGAACTCCGCCAGCAAGCAACATAAGTGAACAACCCAAACATGCAGCTACAGCACAATCAGCATGCTACTCACCACTGGAACACAACTTCCAAGGTAAAGATTATAGAGGCCGTTGACAAAGGTTTCATCGTTCCAGTCAAGGGCACTGTGTGAAAACAAAGACATCATTCTCCCATAAAAAATTATGCTGAGTAGCCTAAATGGAAGACCTAAACAGCATTGCATGCACTCCTCACTAGGTAAGGTAACAGAACACAGTTGCAACAATTTAACACAGGTTCATTAATTTTTTTTTTTTTTTCGTTTAATTCCGTCTCAACTTTAGGTACGAGCTAGCACAACACACATTTTCTACAGGACCAAACTATCATTATTTCAATTCCTAAAAGTAGCCACCCCTGCGTAAATCAGTCTAGTGCTTGCATGTGCTGAATCCAAATCGTGACTACCGTGAGCATTTCTATCCAGCCCTTAGGTAGTAGGGGATACATCAAATACACATGACCATTTATGCAAAGAGTTTTTGTCACATCATTAAATATTCTAACATGGTTGCTTGCAATGAATTATTGTAGCATTCAACCTAATCTAACACTTGCCTGTGATATTTAGAAAATCTTTTCACACAATGTCACGATGTCACTTATTGTGGCCATTGTGGTCACACGATGGCAACAACCAGAGATGATGATTGGGCGCAGCCAAAGAATGCCTTACTTTTAGGACAAGTACAAGGACACAGACAGCAGCACTGCCAGTAACAAAGATCACAAGCATGCAATAGTATACAGTTAAACCTGGACGTAACGAAATCGCTAAATTCTGGGAAAAATTCTTTATAAAGAGGATTTTGTTATATGCAAGTTTAGCACGAAAATTTGGAAAATAAATGCGAGAATAAACAAAAGGGGGACTGAAGGCAGAGCTTACCCAAAAAACTTATTCTACAGTATAAAACAGCGTTATTATTGCGATAGCAATTATATGGACACTTAATGACGTACTTTGGCCGCAAATATCTCGCAAAGTAAAGGAACACGTAACGACAAGCACAAGCACTGCTGTGTGTTCCTTTACTCTGTGTTTGTGATAATCGCGGCGAAAGTATGTCATTAAGCAAGTACCAATTAGGCCAACAATCAGTCTTGTTACAATATATGGACACTCTCAGCGGGTTTTTGCCATCGCTGCCACGTTCCGTATTAAGTCGTGGACACTCTCAGTGGGTTTTTGCCATCGCTGCCACGTTCCGTAACAAGTTCGAATTGATAACATGCTCCCGCGCATCATAACTTTCACAAGCGGGTAAAATCGCACAAGTGCTGCTGAAGCAAAGATCAAATGAGTCTCCCCATCCCTATCGTGTGGAAAGTACGGTACATAACATAACGTCTCACACGTGTTAGAACTGTTATTAATTGCTCAAACAGAAAGGGAACCACTGGTCTTGAATGAGCATGAAACCACGTGGGGATGAGGGGGGGGATCGCTCGAGTAGCAATAAATAACTTTTTAATAATAAGGGCGGTCACGATTGCTGGCGCGCTTGCCATCTCGGCGAGTATCAGTGCAGTTTCAATGCGAAGAGACTGTGTGAAAAGAGCACTTCTTCCTGGAGCAGCTGTATTAGCTCACCCCAGTGTTTTGTAGCAGTTCCGCGATACTGGATCCAGAAGAGTTGGCTGCCAGCCTTACTTCTTAACACATCACAATTTTTTTTGCTATCATGTTCATTGCATTGCATTCGGCACGCCATGGTGTTGCTAGAACTAATAGGCTAACCACGAAAGCTATCAGCCTGCTAACTCACGGCGAGGCGCAAGACAGAAGCATGTGACGAGTGGACCTTCGAAGATCCGTCGTCACCGTGGTCTCGGAAGTTTCCATCAGTGCTTAATCTGAAATTTCCTCTGTGGTGACAACACGGCTGTCCGAAATTAAGAAATCACTGTTTCGCCACGAGGGCGAAGCAATGAATGCGATAACAACAACTTAGAATGTAAGGCTTATGGTGACCCCGCTACTCACCGTAGCGGATGATCACCGCGGGTTCATGCTTAGCGAGCCACACGGCCGCGACTCCGTTTACTCGCGTGTAGCGCATTGCTCCGCGCGCGCTGCAACTAATAAGGCGTTTAGCGCAGCGCGGCAAACAGACAGTGTTCTAATGCAAAATACACAACACTTTATTGCCTCTGGCGGCCCCCCGAACAACAGTACAACGTCCGCTCCCGGGACGCGGGTAGCAAAGGCACCCGCACGCGGACGTTCACAATAAGGGGAAAACTGCGAGCACGTGGCAGCTGGCAATGGCGAGCTTTGACACGCTGGTCGGGAGAAGGTCCCTCGCGGCTATGCTGTGCACTCTCACGATGGCCACTGGGCCTGGTCACGAGTGTTAGGGCAAACCTCGTACGCGTAGGCCTACGGCAAGTGCGGCTCGTTGTGGTACGACCACTTCGAGCACTAGGCACCGCTGTGGGCTTAGCGTACGCTACCGAAGCTAGCACTCAAGTAAACACGCCTGCCGAGGTGCCCAAGGCCACCCCAGGCAGGCTACAGTCGGGCGATTCCCAAAGGGGACGCAGACGAAGGAAAACACGCGCTTACCCGGCGCCGACCACGGAGGTGACACCGTCAGCTCCCTCGGCGCGCACGTAACCCGTACCGCCCGCACGTGGTGCCATCTATCGCCACGTGGTGTTAGCAGAGCAGAAAAGCAAAAGGGTGTGGCCATGTGGCAAAATACCCGCGAAATGGTCGCGGGTGCGCCTTAGATCCCCACATCCTCCTCTCCTTAGTTCACCCAATATACTGGTCTGCAAAGGAAGCCGGTCGTCGCCCATGCATGCAAAGGCGTCATGCAATGGGCAACAGCTAGCCTCAGCCTCGCTCTGCAACTGCTGCTGAAGAAAAAAAATAAAACAACACAAGAATACACTTCAGAAATACACTGGCTCCACAGAAGAGGGGTAACGGGAGTTCGTGATGCTCACGCAAGAGCGCGTCCTTGGCTCGGAGGGGCAGCGTCACGTAATGTTTGACTTGGTTGGGCGACCGCGTGGATGCGAGAGTGCATGGGGAGGGTTCTGGTTGAGGCCCTCATGCTAGGAACGGGCTCACCTTCGTCTCATCGATGTTGACGACAGCCCTGCGAGTCCGACGAACGCCGCCTCGGTGGAGGTTTGGATGGACCTCGCTGCGACAACCGGCCCTTCTGCTGGAATCAAGGTCGCCAAATCCTTTGGTTACGAGGTGTCCTGCGGCGTCGGTCGAGTCGTGCACAGCGTCTGCGACAGCTGGCCTCGTGCAGGAGCCGTGATAGAAAGGCCAGCAGAGCTTATCAGCGACGGTCGGGAGCAGGGCACTACCGGGCTGCCTAATGACCGCAGGTCTTCGAACACCTCTAGAGTCCAAGGTGGTGTAGGGGTAGGTGACTTCTTAAGTTGTCGCCACACGCACGCACACACACCTCCGATGGTCGGGTCTCCAAACGCGCCCCGTAAATGAAGGTGCAGAGTCCTTTGTCCCTCTCCCCACGCTAAAGCACCAATTCACAATCCCCTCCTCCAGCGAGAAGAAAAAAAGAAAACACGAAAAAAACATCAAGTAAATAAGAACACTCAAATGACAATCAGCAGCAGTAACTGGGCAGAACAGACTTCTTTGCAAGCACTGGCTGTAAAGAAGTTAGCTAACTGAGACTAGACAGTAAAAATGAGGGCCTTTGGTTGCGGAAATAAGCCCGCCGTCCGGCGCGAAATCACTCAGGTGACCACTTCCTCAGATTATACTGGTGCGTGGTCCGAATGCGGTCCGCCGCTTCGGGTGTGCGCCGTTGCTTGCGCGAAGAGCCACTGGGCGCTGGCGCAGGCTCGTCAGACCTCAACGCAAAGGCTTTCAGGTCTGCGATGTGGGCATGGCTGAGTTTTCCCGAAAGCGGGCCTTTCAGCAAGTACGCGAGTGGAGTCCAAGCTTTCTCCACTCGGTACGGACCAAGCCACTTTGGAGCGAGCGAAGCTGAGAAACCCTTGCTCGCGTCGCTAAGAGCATGGTTGCGCTTCAGGACGAGGTCACCTACCTTAAGTGAAAGGTGGCGACGTTTTCGGTCGTACTGGGCCTTTTGCTCGGCCCTGGCCGATGCCAAACTCTGCCTCGCTCTACTGAGAGCTCGACAAAGCCTGTCCAGAAGTGTTGAAGCGTAAGCAGAACAGTCTGCCGGTTCTTCCTCGTCTCTGAGCTGGCATTGCATGACACTGGTCACCGAATTTGCGAACTCCCTTCCGAAATTAAGGAAGGCGGGAGAGAAACCAGTAGAGCGACTCTCGGAGGTTCGGATTGCAAACGGGAGTTCACTCAAATGGTCTGCCTAGTCCTTTTGACTTTCGGCAAAGGCCGCCAACATCGGTTTGAGCGTACGATTGCTTCGCTCCGTCAAATTGGACTGGGGATGATAGGGCGAAGAGGTGCAGTGATTTATTCCTAGGGAATGGCACGTATCACCAAACACCCTAGCGGTGAAATACGACGCAATGTCCGAGATCAATCTTTTCAGAAAGCCGTACCGACAAAACACTTCCTGTAGCCTCTCTAGCACTGCTCGCGCTGTCACTTTCCGAAGCGGAAACAACTCCACCCATTTGGGAAAATGATCGACTACCATCAGATGTATGAACCCCTGCTTACTCCTGGGGAATGGCCCCATTAGATCACAGGTGGCTACTTGCCACGGACACTCACTGACAATTGGTTTCATCTAGCCGGGCGGCTTGCCACCCCTTGATTTCACCGCTTAACAGACGTGGCAGGAACGGCAATAGCGAAAAATGTGACGCTTCATGCCAAGCCAAGTCACAACCTTGCTCAGTTTCGCAAAAACTTTAGAGCCACTCAGGTGACCGGCCATGGGCTTGTCGTGAGAGGCTCGCAACAGTGCACCTCTCGGACTTTTGGGCACAACCACCTTAAACGGGTTCACTGACTCCTCATCGGTGGCTATGTATTTCAGCAGGAGTCTATAATGGTCCAGCAAGTAAGTATCCGCGGGGGACCCAGCGACACACGCCGGTTCCCGTCCCTCTGCGCCCGCCGCACTACCAGCAGCGTCTCGACGCTCCGTCTCCCTGAGACTGTCGCTCAACTCGC